GGGGGGGGGGGGGGGCGTGTGTGTGCGTGCACTTACCTTTCGAAGAGTCGGCCCTGACGCTTGCGCTTTTTCATGGTGTCGTCATAGTGGGAGTACCCCGGCATGAGGATGTTGGCGGTGAATTCACCGAACAGACCCTCGTAGGTGATGCGGGCCTTGCCGAAATGAGTCACCTTTATGGGTAAGTCCATCAGCAGCTGGATGTTAGACCCCTGCACCAAACATGAATGCCGAGACACACACAGAGCGCCATCACACGGACGTACAGATGAGTCATGCGTCCTTGTGTGGCTGCAGCATGCATGTCATTCGACTTACCGCGTTTGCATTGGTGCAGTATTTTTCGCCCGTTGTCTCTGTAAAAAGCTTGGCGAAACACTGATTGGCGTTGCCCACGATGGGGTTGGCCATGCACGTGCCTTTCGCCTCAGCGGCGCCCTGGTCGAGGGCGACTGTGATAAGCTTGTCGGCCACACACACCTGGCTCTCGGGACAACCTTTCGTCGAAACCGCACCGAAGATCAGGTCGTACTGGTTGCCACCATGAGCAATCTCATCTATCTGGATGAATTTTACAGTGCACGATGTCCCTACAAAACAACAACACACACACACCCCACATGCGTCGGCCGCCATACTACGTGTGTGTTATGTTCGCTCCCTCAGCACCGACTAAGGCCTTGCCAGCTGGGAACTTCTCGTCTGCAGGCATCATTGAAAGCGGCGAAGAGCAAGGATGCGATTGCAAGAGCGGCTCTAGAGCTGTGTTCCGTTCCCACCCTTCTTGGTGCCGTAGCGAGTCGACGTCGTCTGGCCCTCCAACAGCGAATTTATACCACTTCTCCCTGCACACAGAATGGTAGCAATAGGAGGGAGGCATTCGGGCGTCCATCTAGGCAGGTCTTTGGGTAGCTAGATGCGTACACGTGTTGAGCTTGATGGCGTTCAGGGCCGCAGTGTTCAGCTGGTGGGCGGCCGCAGTGATCAGCTGGTGGGCCGCAGTGATGTCCTTCTCGGCGTGATCCAGCTGCAGCTGCACCAGCGAAAACTCCGCAGACGAAGCCAACTGGCCACCTGCACACGCACACACAGAGAGAAAGAGAAAGAGAGAGATTTCCACCATGTGGAGGGACGGATGGATGGGCGCGGCCACCTACCAAGCTCATGAGCGGCCACCGACACCTCTGCAGCCATAGATCGGCCATCCCGCCATTTATATACACCAGAAAGCAGCATACACACACAAAATGGGCCGATATGCCATGATGTATGGTGGCTCGGTGTGCATGTGCTTCCCTGTGGCTTACGTCGGTCATCGGTGCGCTGGGCGGCCAGCAGGGGCTGCACGATGGCCACCAGACCAGCCAGGAGAATGGCCCAGGCGAAACGCGTCATGGCGGCTCGATCACAGACGTACAGTCGCTCGGCTTGAAAGATCTCCCTGTGGAGGACGCTCTTTTTTCAAAAGCGGGAGACTTTAGACTTTACGCAGGGACCTCAGCGATCCAAATGCAATCGTCTCCCGGATTGAGGACATCGGAAACACCACCAGACGAGAGAAGTGCAAAACTGGGTTTCCACTTGTCAGCAGTTAAGCTGCTAAGTCACCCCACATAGGTCCGCATGCGTAGGATGCGGCGTGGGTGCGGGTAGCGTGTGTGCTTCGGGGAAGGACGCTGGCTCTCATGATAGATGGATGGATGCTGTGCCGGCTGGCTGGCTGGACATACACACAAATTGTCGATGGATGGATGAACGGTGGCGGTAGCCGACAGTACTGACAGATAAACACACCACGACGTTCCACCTGCAATAAATCCTGATCGACCTGGCCACAACACCCGGCCGGCGGTGCTCTCTCATGTGATTAATGTGATAGCGGACAGAGACACAGACACTCACGCATGCAGACACGCAGAGATTCGGCGCACACAGACAGACCTTCTTGCGTGTGCATCCGAATGTTGGAGGTGCAATCAAAGGAGCCAGCCAATGTTGAATCAACCATTTAGCAAGCACAGCACGCCATGGCCGGCCACCACGGCACCAGACATGAACCATTCGTTGAGTTGAACGCATGCAACCATCGGCAGGCAGGCAGGGGCAAACCAGCGGCGAGAGAGGAAGACGTACAAAGAAAGCACACACAACACACGTGCAGTGCAGGGCAGTGCAGGGCAGACAGGAGAGAATGATGAACGAACTCCCACATTCATTGCCTGCAGTTACACAAAGTACCTGTCTACACCAGTTAGTTGCTTGGGGTGGCACCCACTCACTCACGAACATGCCAGACAGACAGACACAAACGCCGACCTACCTACCTTGCGATGCGATCGATGCATGCCGTGTGTGTAACACAGATGGATGGATGGATGGATGGACCAGCAGACAGACAGACCTTTGGGACCAGACCAGACCAGGGCAGGGCAGGGCAGAGCAGCACAGCCACACTTATAGGCAACAAACCACACAACACACATTGGTCGTTGGGTGGTTGGTTGGGTCCCGTATGAGGGTGCATTCATTCATTGGATAGACACACATCACACCAAAGGAAGGCAAAGCAAATAGGTCGTTCCTCCCTGTGCCTCCTTCCTTTCCTTAATTTACAACATGGCCATGGTCTTCTCGCCTGTGTATTGGTTCTGCACCACAGCCACCGACGCACCGAAGAAGATCCACACAGACGGGATCGCTGCAAACAAATGACATGCACAGCACAGCACAGCACACAAAGAGAAAACCAAACGGACAGAGACACGCAGGAATGAGTGAATGAATCGACCTGACTGACTGTCCTCTCTCTCCCCCCCTCTCTCTGTGTGTGAAGTGAAGTGCAACGACTATACTGATCGCGTGTGCGTGCCGTGCCGTGTCTACATACATGAAGAGAGTCCGAATATGCGGCAGACGATGGTGTAGACGACGGAGTCGAGGGGGGCCTCGAGAACGGCCCTGAACTTCTTCATCTGCAGCAGATACTCACGGATCTTCTCCGAGTCAGCCGAGCAAAAGTGCATAGGAAAACCTTACCAATCCAATCAAATCAATGCACACACACAAATGCATGTGGCTGGCGTGTGTGGCATCCGCCCCGCCCAGCCATCCATTGTCATTATTATTACCTGAGAATTGGTGTCCCTTGCGAACCTGCAGTGCCTCCCTCCCTGACTCGTACAGCTTCTTCTCACGACTACACAGGTTGTGACACACATGATGGATGTCAGCACGAGTGCGTGTGCATCGTTCCGGTCGGCACTCCACCCACACTGACTCCCACACTGACTGACTCACTGACTCACTCACTCGTAGTAGTCGTGCCACTTGCTCTGCACCTCTGCTGGCGTGGGGGATATCGAATCTGATCAACACACCACACGCACACAACATTCGGGCCACCATTGCATGCCGATAAGATATTGGAGGTCTCACCCACCCGGTGGTGGGTATCTTTTGAACACCCGTACGGCCTCGGTTTCGTCTCTGGGGTTGGAGAAGCCCGTGGGCTCGCCCGGCCCGGGGTCGAACTCTGGACTCAGGTTGTGCCGCTGCTCCAACAGATCCAAGTAGTCACGGATCTTGTCCGTCAGAGGCTCACTCTGACACACACACACACACACGCGCGCGCGCGCACACACAGACAGATGGGTACATGTTTGGGGGGGTGGCTGATGGCTGACGAGATGAGACGTACGTTGTCGAATAGGGTTTCGAGCCCCAGTCTGGCCCTGTACATGCGTATGTTCTCGCAGAGCTCTCCCACGAGCTTGGCCGCCTCCCTCTCACACGTGTGCGGCCGCAAAGCCGGACCAGGGGTCACGTCAGCGTCAATCCGCTCGGGGTAATCCTGAATCAAGGAATGAACCACACACACGACAGACACGGCAGACACAATCGTCAGCTTCATGGATGGATGGATGGATGCACCTTCCTTCCACCGACCTTTCTGGCCGCCTCCCTCCCTTCCTCCCTCACCTGGTGTGAGAGCAGCTGGTTGAGGTCTCTCCACTGTTGTGGGTTCTCGAAGTCGTATTTGATGCATGCCGGGTGGTGGTTCTGCAGGTTGCCGAACACCCGCTCGTGGTTGAAGACCACCTCGATCGTCTCGTACGGCACAGGCACCAACGTGTCGTCGACGCGCACTAGGTCCATCTGGGGGGCGTACGGCTTCTGCGCACGACGCTGCGCGTGCTCCCGCTGCTGCGCCTCACGCGACACACGACCTGCGAGAAGTGAGCGACGGAATGCAGAAAGCTCTACAAAGGGTGGATGGGCGTGGGGGGGCGCGTGTGTGTGTTGTGTTCTTGCGTTGTGTTGTGTTGTGTATTACGTACTTTTCTTCCTGGGTGCGACTTTGGCGGTGGTGCGTTTGGGCCGTGGGATGTTGCTCATGTGGGGCAAAGAATCGTACTCGTCCTGTGTGGTGTGGTGAATGAGGGGGGGCCGGTGAGGTGACAGCATAGACAGACAGACAGACAGACAGGCCGACCCACCCCGGAACAAACAGATGCACGTGTGAAATCGGGTACGTGAGTGTGGATTGTCAGTCAGTGTCCCTCCCCCGGTGGGGTGGGGCGCACCTCTCTGACGGTCTGGTCTTTGACCTCGGTGTCGGCCCACATGGAGTCGAAATCGCTCGACGGAGAATCCAGGCTCCCGCGCTGAAGTGACGTGACGCAGCCACACACCATACACACAGATGGATGGATGGATGGATGCCGCTGTCTGTGGGCTGACTGGTGGACAGACTCAACTCACGTGCTCAAAGCTCCGTGGACGCTGGATGGCGCTCTGCACACACCCACAAGGTCACATTCACAAAAGGCATCGTGGCTGGGCTGGCTGCATCTGTGTGTTGATGACACACGTACCTCCTCGGTGTCGAAGGTCTCGGGCCTGCCAGCCCAACGCACTGCACACACATACACAGACAAAGACGCATGAGCATGATAGGCAGGAAGAGCCAGGCGTCCATCCATCAATCCATCTGTGTGTGTGAGTACATGGCAGGTAGTATCTCATTCGCTGTGTGAGTTCCCAGAAGGTGACGTACCCCGACGGCCCCTCCTCGCGAGTCATCACCCACACGTGCTCATCGCCGTACGGCAACGTACCCTACACACACACACACACACACACACATGGATTCATCCGTCCGTTCATGTGATGCAGTGAGTGAGTGGATGCACGCTCTTCAGCCACCTTGCAAACGTATGCATCCTTCTTGGTGCCGAGCAGCAGGCCACAGAGGAGGAGAGCATGGTCCTGAACGGCACCCTGCCTGGTCACACACAGCCATACAGCCATCCATGTGTCTGTGTGTGGTGATGGATGGATGGCTGGATGGATGTGTATGTATGTGTGGGTGTCACCTTCTAGCGAGTAGGAATGATGAGTTGTACCAGCGTTTGATTTTGCCCTCCTTCTCCTGCCGACCCCCTACCACGAAACTCAAACACTGCATCCAATGCAGCAACTTGCTGACCACAACACACACACACACACACACACAGAGAGAGAGAAAGAGAGAGAGGGAGGAGGGCAGGTGTTGTCTTGGCTCTGTTTAGTGTGGATGTGTGTCGATCTGTGATTCCCTTGGCTACTGCTCACGAAGCGGCCGCCATCTCCTCTGGTATGACGATTGGCGTGACGAAGCACGGTAAGGGGTACATCTGCTTCGTCTGAATTGCAACATGTCATGAATGGACAAAGACAACCACAACCACACGCAAGTACCGCCTGCCTACCCACCCACCTGTGGGTGTTCTGCAGCACATGTCCACGTGCGGTCCTTTGGACCGTCGGGGAAGTCCTGCAGATACTCGTTCTGGAACGCTGTGAAGTCCTGATGCATGGATGGATGGCACACAGACAAGATAGATAACACAGCAGACAAAAACAGGTGGATGCGTGGCTCCATAGCCCGTCCATCCATCCATCTGACCGCATTCCACGTGTCGATGGCCTTCCGAATGGCGTCTTCGCGAGACTCCTGCACCCACACACATACGGCAGATCCGCATTGCACGTGACGGATTGTTGGGCTGTCCGGGTGGGTGCCCCCTTACCACCCACCCACCCACGCACCGACCTCTGTCTTGGGTTTCTCGATGCGCAGCGACTCGTGGAAGTCGGGCCAGAAGTAGCACTCGAAGAAGATGCTCGACGTCCCCACCGTCTGCAGACAGACAGACAGACAGACATCCACCCACACATGCATACGTACGAGAATACACATGCAGCCAGCCAGCCCCGCAGTATGTATCTTATCTATGTGTTGGTTGATGCATTCGTTGGTTGATGCATCCATACGTCCATACTTAGGTATGGACGTACCTACGTACCTACCTACCTTGATTTGTGAGCCGATGAGGGGCTCCTTGTACCCCTCGACCACACGTGTGTCCAACTCCACATCCCACGGCTCCTGAACACACACACACGCGCAGACAGACAGACAGACAGACAGACAGACAGAACCAGCCAGCCAGCCCCTCCTGGATGCGTATGTATGTATGTATGGATGTATGTGTGTGTGTGCGTGTGCACCTTTCTCCTCCGTTTGCCGCCATCTTCGTCTTCGATGTCGTCTTCGTCGTCAGCCGTTACCGCATCTAGATGGGTGGGGTGGGGGATGATCGATCGATGGAGCACATGACAGACGACAGACACACAGACAATGAATGCAATGCGCAGCAGAGAGAAAACAAGCAGGCAGGAGTGTGTCGGTCGGTCGGTCGGTCGGTGCACGGGTGGGTATGGACGAGTGGTGCGTGCGGGTGCACCTGGTCCGGCGCGCCTTTCCTTTTTCTTGGTGCCCTGCACACACACATGTTATGACGGTTGGTTGGGCACCTGTTGCACCTGTTGGTGGTTGGTTGGTTTGGGTGAGTGTGTAGGCAGTGCAGTGGTGTGTCTGTCCGTGTACATGTGCATCCGTACGTACGTATGCTAGAGATCGTTTCTGGATGTTGTTGCTGCCCGTGATGTCGGCCAGGTCCACACGGCAACCTGCACACACACACACACACACACACAGACAGGCAGGCAGACAGACAGACAGAGGCATGCAGCGACGCCCTCGGTCGCGTTTTGTTGCTCTCTCTCCCTCGCCATCTCCCTCTTTCTCTGTCTGAGCGTGCTTGTGTGTCTGTGTGTCTGTCCTGACCCCCTAGGAAATCGGAGCTGAAGTCGTCATTGTCCCACACCTCGATGTCGATCGAACCTGCGTGACTCACACCAACGATTAATCACATCGACTTTGCTGCCTGGCTGGCTGTGTTTCGGGTCTCCCCATCTCCCTCACCCTTGGAGAACATCTCCACGGGCAATGCGCTGCGGATGTACCTGACAAAGAGACACCCACAACACAGACAGTACACATGGATGGATGCGTTCCAAGGTCTGTCTGGGTGACTGACTTCGGGTTGGTCCTTGAGCGTTTGCTGATGAGTCTGACGGGGAAGTAAAAGTTCTGGTTGAACACCGGACGGGTCGTCCTCTCCCGCACCGGAGAGTTCTGAATCTGTCCATCCCATGGACGGATGGATGTGTCGGTGTTAGTTACATGCCAACACACACACACGTCACTCGCCGTCAGTCAGGTGTACATGGTGGGTGACTCACTCACTGACCAGTCCGTCCCACTTGACGCGCACGAACGGGTCGGAGCTGCCGGTGTCCGAATCCGCCACGGGCAGATTCTCACACTCAAAACCGCAACACAATACATGGATACACAAAACAGACAGACAGACACAGTCAGAACTGGGCAAACAAACCAGGTGACCCTTGCCTACCTTTGAGATCCTGACGACGAGGTACTGCTCGCGGATGTCGAGTTGCGACAGGAGCGCCGCGCCACGGGGCTGCTCCGGGCGCACCTTGACGCTGGTACAGACACAATGGACACGTGAGTGGGTGAGTGGGTGAGTGGCTGGATGGATGGATGGATCAGCCTGAGCGTTGACTGACTGACTGACTTGTCGTCTTCGTCAGCGGTTGCGAATGCGCTCCTGGGCTGACACTTGACATTGCCGCGAACCATGCCCTTGCGAAGCTTATCGGGGGCCGACTGCAGACAGACAGACATATATGTATCAATCAACGCACACACACGTTTAAGGAGGTGTGGTGTTGTCTGTGTGTGTGCGTACGGTGAGTATCTTGACGTCCCCCTTGAACACCGATATGTCCAGCACCGACTTGAGCGACAAAATCGCCTTGCCTAGGAAGGAGCAAACGGATCAACGTCAGACACAGACGCACAGACACAGACGCACAGGCACCCATACACAAGACAAGCCACACGTGGCCGGCCTGCGAGAGAGTGAGTGCGTGTGCACCGACCGATGTATTGTGTGGGTTTGAGGTGGCTGAGGAATGCGAACACCTTGACGGCGAAGTAGGTGTTCTCCAAATGAGACTTGGTGCCTTCATGCACACACACGTGATGGCATCATTACGTGTCCATCCATCCATCCATCTATGGGTCAATGCACCTGGGCAGCGTCGTTAACACAACACGCTCGCCCGGTTCTACTCGCTGAGCTCACCTTTGAAATGGAAAGTGGGAATCTGCTTCCAGAACGACCTGGAAAGAAAGAAATAAAGAAAGCACACACACACCAGGTGCACTGCGCTCATGAAGCCGGCTGGTCGACCGGCTGGCTACATGTCTGTCTGTCTGCATGTCCCGCCCGCGCGTCACATTCGATCACACCTACGTACGTCTTGTCGAACTTGGTGCTGCGCACGCGGAACTTTCCCCCCTTGTTCCTGTGCGCATTATATATCCAGTCAGTCAGAACACATACATACGCACAGTCGCCGCCCATATACCGATGTGATGCATACATACACGTGTACGTGTGTGTGTGTGTGTATGTACGTGTGTTTCCATCAATGTGCATTGCTTGCGTCCACTCACTTGGGCACGGCGAATTCCAGCCTCTTGGGCGCGTCGATCAGCGCCTTGTCCAACGAATCGTTTGGGCGGAAACCCTGGGAGGGGGGGAAGGAACAAACACATGCACATGCATGGATGGACGGGTGTGTGCCTCCCTCCCTCCCTGGTCAGTGCGTGGTACGGGGTTACCCAGTTGTCGAATTTGAGCTCGAACGAGAAGACCTCCGACAGCTCACACGTGATCGACAGACGCTGGACCTCAAAGCCTACACACACATCCATACGTCCATCCATCCATCCATCCATGCTCCTGTGGAGCTGTTGCTCTCCCTCCCTCCGTCTGTCTGTGGCTGACTGTTGGTTTTGTGTCCCTTCTTGACGGTTCTCTTGACGAGAATGACTCTGTCCATGCTCTCGCTGGCGGCGTCGTAGAGCGACAGCTGGGCGCTGGCATGGTGCGTGTTGAACGTGAAGTTGTTCAGCTTCCACATCTGAATCAGAATGAATGTCGTGGGCGGTGTGGATACACACAGTACAGTGGGAGGGAGTGGTGAATGAGGGAGGGTGTGTGTCGAAGGAAGGCGTCATGTCTGTGGTTTCTCACATCGAACGTGACGCAGTAGTCCTTCAGGTCGTTGTAGCTCAGCCTGCACGCACACACACACACACACACACATCTCCTTCCCTCCCTCGCTCCCTCCCACCTTGCCTTGCCTGCCTTTGGTCTTACTTACTTGAGGGTCCGCGGAATGGAGACCTTCTCAGGAACGCGCAGTCGCTCTGCGAGTGCATTCATCCATTCAGACACCCAATCATGTACATGTGTATGTCCTTGGTGTGTTTCAGTCAGGCTGGTGAGGTGTGTTTTGAGGTTGCTGTGCTGTGCTGACTGTTTGCGCCCTTTTCGAGGTAGTAGGCGTCCGTGTACATGAAGGTGCGGCGAATCACGCCCCTCTGCACACACATGCGAACCAACCAACGCAACAAACACGCACACAATCCGCTGATTGATGGCGTGGGTGGCAGGCAGGCAGGCAGGCAGGCAGGCAGGTGTTCGGTCCTTCCCTCACTCCTTCCCTCCCTCCCTCCCTCCCTGACCCTCTTCTTCTTGTTGACGTGCCGCAGAGTAACGACATAGAAGACGTCCTGCTTGCTGTTGGTCACGTTCTGAATCCTGCACAGTCTGTCTGTCAGTCGGTCTGGCTGTCTGTCACTCACGCACCCACCCAGTGATTTCGAGTGCCGTTTCCCACAGCCTCAGTCTGTCCATCGGGTGCGTGTCATCCATGGCCGCCTTGCGACCCTTCTTGAAACGAGCGTAGTCTGCACACGACAGACAACCAACCACCACGACGGACACACGCGAATGAAGATCACGCCTCCCTCCCTCCCTTGCTCGCTGCGCAGGTGCGTACCCCTACCTTCATTGCCAGCGAGTATTTGGTTGTGCTCGAGGTCGGCCACCTCTCTCTCAGACCTCCCTCGGCCCTCCACCCCTCCCTCACCTTCACTCTCGTAACCCACATTTTCCTCAACACTGTCATCTTCGATCTCACGCACTGCCCTTCCACCTACCCCAGGACCGACATCCAGGCGCACCTCCTCCACGCCAACACCTCCAGCACCAGCAGAAGCAGCAGGACGAGCCGGTTCAATGTCTGATTGTTGTGTGCGTGGCGGTCTGCCGCGCCCGCCAGTGAGGCGTGCGCCTCTCGCCTCCTCTGAGGAAATGCCCAGCTGCGGCGGCGGCGCCAACCCGACACCCGCCATGCGATGCGCCCTTGAGACGGGGGCGGCCCCCAGCTCATCATCATCATCATCTTACACGGATCCCTAGACGCACGGAGTCGTTTTGGCGGGAGCTTTGGCGAGCTTTTGCAAATCTTCCTCAAAAAATTGCATCCATTGCCCGCACGCCTGTCAGCACACCAGCATCACACACAACACCCCCATACCTCAGGGGCGTCGGAAACGAGCGAAAAAAACGGTGAAAACAGCACCAGGATCGGGGAACACACCAAGACAAACAGGGAACCAAAGGGACCGGACGCTGCAGAAGGCACGCAGGAGGCCACACACCAGCAAAGGAAACCCATAGAGCACGCTTGGCGTAAGAAGGGCAGAAGAAACGGCGAAGAACGCACGCAGAAAGACACCGCCACACGTCTGCCCCTCAAAGCGCACAAAACATGTTTCTTTCCCACACAATACATCGGTCGGTGCACACGCACTCACTCTCTCGCGGGCGGCCACGTGTGTCTTGTGTATGGGTGGACTTGTAACAGTGCAAAGTTATCGGCAAAATTAATAGATAATTCAATAAATTGCTTTGTGGTTGCAGATTGGCTTTTACAGACATTGAATGCTGCCGCAGCATTTATGAGAGAGTTTTATTGGTAATTCAAACTCTGGATGATGTACAACATAGAAGTATCTATCGTCGTCTCTTTCTTCCCTACTCATTCGTCGTAATCCTCACCCGCCAATATCTCGTCAACTGCCTGGCACACTGCACTGCTTCTCCGCCCGCAACATAGGTGTCAAATAAGCGGTCACTGTTAACCAGCGACTGGTCGACAGATCTTGATGCTCGAATGGAACAACAGGCTGTCAACAGCTTCCGTCTCGTCATCTTGGTGGAAACGGCACAGGCGGCACACCAAGTTCACCAAATCCGCCAGCCGCCGAATTTCGGGGTGGTAGGTATCCACTATCCGTATATACGAAATGTGCAAGTGGCAGACGCTCTGCACATACTCGCTCTCGTATGCCTCCTGCACCGCCTCCTTCACATTGGCGTATCCGTGGGAGCGATTGCACAGACGTTGATAGTTCGTCCGCATCCAGACGTGATGCACGGCAATATCACGTGCCTCCTCTCTTGCCTCGCCTCTTCCTCCTCTCATTGCTCAACTATTCTTTTGGCAAAGGGGGACACAGTAAGGCTGAGATAAGGGTGAACGTCTACGAAAGTGTCTCCTTCTTCAGAAAAGCTTCTTCACCCGTATTCAATTTGTCGGTCACCAGTTTTTTTAAAAGACTCCAAATCCCCCGAAAAAGACACACACACACACACGGCACAAAGAGGTAATTCAAAAAACCGGAAAAAATACAAAAGGAGGAGAGATAATGATTAAGAAGGGAGCTGTCAGCGGGGCGGTGTTCAGGCGAGGATTGTGGTGGTGAGGGCCGCCAACAGCAGCATACAGACAGGATGGCCCCTGCACGCAGACAAATCGAGCAGACGAAGGTGTGTATCGTCTTTGGAACGAATCCGTTTGTCTGTGTGTATGCATACGTGACTGCGCCTGCTGTTCGTTCGTCCAGCGTTCTTGGATTGTCAGTTGCGTTCGGGTCGTTGTCATCATCCGCACCGTCATCATCCCCATTGTCTCCCGTGGGGACATCACTATCGTCATCTCTGCAGAGGCAGATGATATATTGTCATTCAGAGAGATCAAGTGATTGATGACTCCGTGATTCGTGTGCATGTCTCACGTGCCATATGTGCTATCTGTGCCATCTGTGCCATCTGTTTGTATATGTGCCACTACACACACACACACACACACAACACACACACACACACACACAACACACACACGTCAGAGGCGTCGCTCGATGTCACTTGTTGTCGCTTCTCCTCACCGGGATACCCTTCTCCCTCCGAATCTTGCTCCTGACCGATTGACAGCTTGCCGACCCTAATGTAGCCTTTGTCATCACCCTCCTGGCTACTCGTGTGTCTCCTAGAAACAAGCTCGCTCAGTACGTGTATGTATGTATGTATGTATGCGCCGACCAGCAGAGGTAGTGATCAGATTTCTTCGTTGGGATGCCCAATGAGTATGTGTCCCAGGGTTCTGTGTCGGAAGTGGCTTCTGCCGGCCCTTCAGACTGAAAGAGATCCTGTACAGGTAAAGATCTGCAGTTGGCGCTATCGACATCGGCGCTTCCCTTCGTCACTGCAAGGACGCCGCCGCTGTCAAGACCTGCATGCAGCATTCATGTGTGTCTGCACAGAGGGTCTTGTATATGGCTGACAAACCAGAGAAGCTCACCGATTCCTGTCAGTGTGACATTACATGGGTTTCCAACGGTGCATGCGACGGTCGGCTGAGAAGTATGAGGGCCTGCAGTATGTGGCAGATGCAGACAGCAATCATGTATTCATTGAGCTATATGCCTGTTGTCTCCACCCGTGTCCCACCTTTAATTGTCAGTGTGCCTGCACTCGCTTTCCAGTTTCCGAATTGCCACGCTTCTGTGCACCCCGTTGGGCACCTAGCAGAAAGCCTGCATCCAGCTCTTGTTTGCCACTGCTGCTGTTGACGCATGATACCCACCAGCAAAGGAAACGGGTGTCGACGGGCATCAAAGCTTTTCCGAAGTTGTATACTGCGTGTGGAGGCTCTTGATCGGGTTGGCCGATGAATATCTCTGGGTCGAACAGTTGTGAGTCCATTCTAGGGTCAGCGCAATCCCTTGACGAAATGAGCAGACGGTTGTCAGAACCAAGGCCTTCAGAAAGAGAGAGAGAGAGAGAGAGAGGAGAGAGGAAGAGGAGAGTCAGTGACAAGAGATCGACGTCAAGCATCGTCATTTGCCTCTGCCGCCAATTTCCACGGAACAGCGTCCACCGGCCCAACAATCGGCGGCACTCAACGTTCCACTAGGACCTGCAAGAGTACTGACGTGCATATGGACGTCTGTCTTTCAGCAGAGTTTTGAGTCTTGTCCTTCATACCGTCGACGGTCAGGGAGCCAGCTTCCATGGCAAAGTCGCTCAGGCCACTGCTGGGATCACAGGAGCGCTCATGTGTGCACCTACACATATATGGATAGACACCATACACCCATATATAGTGTACACAGTCACAAGTACTACGCACGTACCAACACAGCTTGATATCGCCGTCTGTAATCGAGCGGGCGTAGTCTACGCCGCTGCCGAAGGTAAATTCCAATCTTGTCCCGTCGTCCTTCTGCTTCCCAGTCGCCATAGTAGCGTCGAAAGCACTGTCGATCAACTGCCCGCTCGTGCAAGAATCCTTCGACAGAATCATCTTGTCCCCCTCTTGGAGTTCTGCATCAGTGCAGTTCATGCACACAAGGAGACATCTGTGTTCGGCTGACTGCGTCAGTCGAAATGAGTATCGGTTGTGTCACTTGCCTTCTCCCGTAATCTCCACTTGGCACCTGCCGCCCCTTATGCAGGTTTTGGCTGTATTGCTGTCGGGGCCACCAGGGCGCTCTGTAGGAAGGTTTTGCCAGCCAGCAAACACTGGATGCTCCTAGCTCAGGAAGCGCAAAAGGTGCTGATTCCCCTCACCAGTGATTCTCAGCGTGCCGATTGTGCTGGCGGTTCGCCCCCTGCACCCATCCATGCGAAACAGGACACGTCGGTGACATTTCTGAATCTCTATTCTTTACTTACGCACCAACACAGCGTGTAGTTGCCAGTGACGAGAGCCTCGCCGAACACAAAAGCCCTCTTGTAGGAGCAGGTGTTGCCAGTGCAGGTGTATTTGATTCCTGCTCCTGCACTGGCAACACCTCCGTCGGCAAATACACCACTCATTTCTGTCGGTGGGAATTCTGCGATGCAGTCAGTCCCCTCGTCGGTCACATACAACTTGTCATTCTCGACGATGCCTGCCCATGAGTGCAATGATGTGTGGTGGACTTACGCAGAAAGCCATGAACGTCACCCATCCGAAACACCTACCTATTTGATCTTCTGGATGGTCTTCTGGATAGGCAGTACAATTGTTTTTTCTTCGGAATCCGGTGAAGCAGTCAAAGTGCTGGTTGGGAAGGGGGCCTGATGTTGAGCTTCCCAATTTCCACACGCTTACCCGCAGCTGACCTGCACAAGAATGAATTCGCGCTTTCCACAACCTTGCGAGCGAATCTCAGCTGCTGACCAGCAGAACTTGAATCCACCGGCCACAACTGTCTTGCCTTTAAAGCGAAAATTCCACCCGCTTGGCGAAGAAGACACCGCAGGAGTTGTCCCAGCTACCCCTGCACCTTCCCTGCATGCAGCGGCAAACGAGAGAGCGTGCATTGAGCTGTGACTCGTGCAAGGGATAGCGCCTACCCCGAAAGAATGTCTTGCGCTGCGGAACCGCTGCAGCCCTCCGATGCATCATGGATGTACATGTAGTCTCCGTTTGAAAATGCTACATATATGTATATGCATGCACGCATGTACAATTCCATAGACACCGTCCCTGCTTGGCTCACTTGGTACATTGATCGGACAGCAGCTCCCTCCCAGGTCGATGTTGCAGACGATATCGGCACCTGCACCGATAAATAAACATTCAACC